GGCGTTACCACAATAATAATTTTTCTTTGTTTTCTCAATTTGCGGGGGTGTTAAACGATTGCACATCACGTGGATTTAATAGTTTCAAACAAGCACCAAAAAGCCCATGGCAATTATAATTACCAAAGAAATCAACTCAGTCCGGTGACTTCCAAAATAAGTCCCGTACACAAACCCAGGCAGCGTGAATTTCTCCACATAACCTTTGTACATTGGCTGGGTCCCTCCACCCATTCGTCTTCCTGGGTAAGACGCTAAACTACATCTGCGTTTTGGGTAAGACGATAAACTACATCCAGCAGCAAAGCCTCTGATCAGGAGGTTATGAAGAACGTGGAACCACCTCTTAATTGCTGGTATTCCCAGGTCCACCCTGATCCAGGGTGGTAGCACCTGCTAGGGTTCCAGCTATGGGCAAATAGTTAACTATTACCAGCAATACTTTCTTGAAAAAAATTATTACCAGCAATACAATTTTGAAGGAAAAATATTACCAGAAACAGATTTTTGACGAAACAAAATATTACCTGCAATAAAAAATGTCGGCATTAAATAACCCATTGAGATTGATATGCCGTAAAACACAATAAACCAAACTAAAGCAAACCTCCATCCATTGGCACTAATCAGTCAAGTAGTTCACCTCTGGTTCTCTCGCCCTTGATATGTCCCTTGAATTTCAATTTCTTATTTTAGTTGTGTATTTCTGATTCTGAATAAGTGTTTTTTAATTGTTTCTATTTTCCTTAAGACTTCTTTGTCGCTTATGCGCTCCCTCCATAGTATTCTCGGGATCCTTCTTAAGAACCACATCTGTGTTGCATCTTCTTTCTGTCGGATTTTCATGATTTGTCACTGAAAGTCAAAAGCCGCCCTTTTACCAGACGAAAGGTTTTCTTGTAATAATAAATGACACAACACAATGGGGGTCTGTATCGCCCAAATTTATTGTTTTCAGCAGGGAATTGTTGCTGCCTAATTGTCAGTGACGGAGAGGGTAAAACCAGTGAGACGACGTAACTATTCAAGCCACTTATTTATAGTCCATCTGCTCAATATCATGACGAAGACTCACTGAGGAATACTGGAGGGAGGAACTATTTTTCCTTTTCTGTTAGCGGCGGCCTTCAAAATTTTAAATTCAACGTCAGTTGTCAAAGTTTTTCTGGTATCCACTTCTTGTTGTCCTTTTTCGATGTTTGCTCACCTTCTTTCCTTTTCGTGTTCGTTCAAGTATGAATTGACGGTAAAAATATATAGAGAAGTAAATGAAGTAAAGAAATCTTTAGTAAACATTAATCTATTATGACATGTCCCCAGCCGTTAAATCCTCTGGTTTCTCCACGTGTCTGCTGCACGGGGCTCGAAAAACTGAAAACTTTATAGGCTGACCAAGATACTCTAGTGGAATATGATCAAATGAAATTTATTTTTCTACATAGTTACCCTTGCAGTTCACACACTTCTATCGTCACTGCTTGGATCACATTGGTGAAGAAGATTTCATCCTGTTGGTAAAAAAGCGATTAACAACAGGTATGATCTGTCTATATTTCTTAGATGAGGTATTACGTACATTATTTACATTATTCGGACTATTGTCCTCATCTTTGTTGCCATATTTATTACAACGTTTCGGCCTTTCAGTATCTATCTATATTTCTGAGATGAGTTATTATGTACACTATTTACATTATTCGGACTATTGTCCTCATCTTTGTCGCCATATTTATTACAACGTTTCGGCCTTTCAGTATCTATCTATATTTCTGAGATGAGGTATTATGTACACTATTTACATTATTCGGACTATTGTCCTCATCTATGTCGCCATATTTATTACAACGTTTCGGCCTTTCAGTATCTGTCTATATTTCTGAGGTGAGGTATTATTATTCAGGTTCGACATTCCAACCACCTGAAGAAGGCCGGAGCGTACAACGTAAATAATGAACATATATGATGTCATCATCATTATTCCGATACTTTTTCCTAGCCAAGTGTTTTTTTCATGTTAGAGAACTGATGATAGTCAGATAGGGTCAAATCAGGAGATTAGGAAGGGCGATCAACCAGTTCAAAGCCACAGTCACATATAGCATTCATTGAAATTAATGACCTGTGTGCAGGAGTATTGGGCTGATAAAGCAAGATCACTTACTTCTGTTTTCCTAAGCGTTTTGTCTTGATAGCCTTTCATAACTGCCTCAGCAACTTGGCATAATACTCTCCATCGATTGTTTGGCCCTTTTGAAAATAGTCACATAGTGCCTTTTGTATCCCGCCCAAAAGTGGGGCCATTACTTTTCTTTAAAGCAGGTGAGGACGAGTGTTTCCATTGCATGGATTGTCTCTTTGTGTCTGGCTTAAAGTGATCAGCCAAATACTCATCCTGGTTTAGAAATTGTTCAAGGAAAGCAGCTGGATCTGCTTCAAAATATGTCAGATTTCCTTATGATGTGATCAACCTGGTGCCTTTTTGATCAGGTGTCAGAAAACGTGGCACCCAACGACCAGAAAATTTTGTCATGCCAAGTTCTTTGTACAGAATAATCTCAACTCTCACACAGGATATACTAAAAACATTGGAAATTTTATTTATAGTAAATCGCCTGTCATCCATCATCAAGTGGTGAACTTATCAATGTTTTCCTCGGTGGTGGCAGCTATTAATAAGAAGATATTAATGAATTCAAGTTTTCACATCTCTAGCATTACTGCTTCATAGTCAGCCTATAAGTCTTTAAAGGTCATCCTCAGATTTGACGACATAATGATACATTTGAATAGAATTTTATTTATCCATGTGACAAACGTATGAAGAAAGTTTTTTTTTGATTCCATTAATCAAGATTTAACTATTTAATATTATTATTATTTTTTTTACTGATATATATATATATATATATATATATATATATATATATATATATATATATAGATAATGGAAAATATACATACATATGCAAAATATATATAAAAATTTCGCATGTATATTTTCAGAAAAAAAAAAAAAAAAAAAAATTTCCAAGAGGAAGGATCCAGGTAGAACTCAATGTCTAGGACAGAGAGGTAAGGATATAATAAAAAGGCTTAAACACTAATATTCCATGGTCATAATTTATTCCATTGGAATCATAAATACGATCCAAATCATCAGACCTACAAATTCAAAATGAAAAGAAAAAAAACCCCGGAAATCAAAAACAGAATTTAGAGAAAGTGTAAGTATGAGGAGGAGGACATGAAACCTAATAGAGAGAGAATTTTATATATATATATATATATATATTGTAGTTTACTGCTACCATCAAGCAAAAATATTTCTTCTCTCGATGATGGCCATTTAGGCCGAAACTAGTCGAGGAATCTAAATGAAATAATAAAAAAACAAAAGAATATTAATCTACAACCCAGTGTGACTGAAGATTTTAATTTTTAATATTTTTTTATTGTTCGATATATATATATATATATATATATATATATATATATATATATATATATATAAAAAAATAAAATATATATATATTTGTATTTTTAAATAAAAAAATATGACGAGGTAGGTAGATACAACTTCCTTCCTCTTTGCATAAATGATATGAACAAAAGATCTCAAATTATGAATTCTCTCCGTCTTGTGTCCAAATCACGTGTTGTTGGACATTATGCCCAAAAGGGCTATATTTGATCTGTCACATAGAGACATTGAACGCCGGACACCATGAAACTATTTACCATCGTGCCTTTTTATTGAGATATTCAAATGATCTGCTTAATTTCCCATGTGATTCTCGGTTTAGTTTTAATAATTCATTATCGACTTTTACCTCACTTTAGATTTTGACCTAATGACGATTTGCCTATAATATGTTTTTACTTCGCCCCGAAATGAATACTACTTATAGTTTTATTTGCAAATGATTTCTAACATCTATTGTCAATCCCCTTTGTATTCAAATTTAAAAGTGCGTTATTATTTTTTCATTTTTAACATTCTCATATCTAATGTCTTGGGAATTGGATAGTTTTGTTTGAAAATGTCTCATCTACGAAGGTGGAAACATGGCATGTGAAATATTTGAGGCGAATTCAAATTCTGACCGTAACGGTTCCATTCTATCATTCTATAGAGACATCATCGGACATAGATAGATAGATAGATAGATAGATAGATAGATAGAGAGAGAGAGAGAGAGATTGATATATATGAAGCGACTGGGATATAGATACGAAACGACTTACATATCATCAGACATAGATAGATAAATAGATATGAAGCGACTGAAATAGATATGAAGCAACAGAGAAGCATATATATATATATATATATATATATATATATATATATATATATATATATATATGAAGCAACTTAGATACCATCAGACATAGATAGATAGATGTAAAGGACTGAAATAGATATGAAGCAACAGAGATAGTGTTGTGCCATAGTACCTATTCTATTGTAATGGACTCTCCCATAGATAATAAGTAGGAGTAGCAGTGGCAAGTCTGGCAGAACGGTGTTGAGCGCGTCAGTCGAGATTCAGACATTTGAAGTACCAACCATCACAACTAGATTTGCCGCGTGATTGACTCTTATTTTCCAAGTTCCTAACGTTTTGTACGTCGGACCTAATTTAGGACGACTTATTAGAAATACAAGCCTCCACTGTGAAAATACTCCACAACAGATAGATAGATAGATAGATAGATAGATAGATAGATATGAAGCGACTGGGATATGGATATGAAATGACTTAGATATCATCAGATATATATAGATACATAGATAGATAGATATGAAGCGACTGAAATAGATATGAAGCAAGAGAGATAGATAGATAGATAGATAGATAGAGAGAGAGAGAGAGAGAGAGAGAGAGCGAGAGATTGATATATATGAAGCGACTTAGATATCATTAGACATAGATAGATAGATAGATAGATAGATAGATAGATAGATAGATAGATAGATATGAATAGACTTATGATAT